TAATAATAATAAATTAATTAATTAAAACTATAGGTCCTTAAAAACTTTATAATTTATAATAACTTTATAATTTTAAAAATTATAATACTTACTAAACACCAATTAAGCCTTATTATTTCATAATAGTCATGTGATCAAAAATAGTCAAACATGAACGCTTAAATAAAATAAATAATTCTAAAAATATCAAAAACAAAACAATGCCGGAAATGTTGGGAATTTCCCGCAACTTATTAGTACTGGGCACACTATTCGGTAACCCTATTTACAATTTGACCATGCTTAATCATAAACACACCCCATTTTCATTCACAGCCTTAACTAGCGCTCAATATTTTGACCACCATTACAACGATTATAATCCCGTTGATTATGGTCCAGAATATCACCCAGACCATTATAGCCATCATCATAATCACTTAGGACAATACCACGGACACACACATCACGATCACAACTACCCTGAGCACCATCACAGGCACTATGGTCACTATGGGCCCCATGACAATTACTACCCACACGACCACTATTACCCAGCGCGTGGCCGACCACCACCACTACACGCATACCGAGGATTATACGGGGGTCGGGGCATCGACCACGATGATCATTACCACGATCGCGACGCCCATAACTACGCGCAGATAACTCCGGACTTCGGGCCGTCGCAGGAGGAGCTCGACCGGCAATGGAAAGCCAAACAAAAGGCCAAACGGGAGAGCTCTTCAGCACAGGTAGGCTCGGAGGAGGAGCAGAGGCGGGCGCAGTTGGCCCTCGCCGGCGACGAGGAGAAGCAGCGTAAAAAACAAGCACAGGCTAAGAAAAAAGCACAGGAAGCGGCGGCGGTGGCCGAGACCAAACGCAAAGCCGAACAGGAGGCCGAGTCCCAGGAGGCGGCCCGACAGGAGGCCGAAGAGGCCGAGAAGGCCCGGGAGGGCAAACAGGCGGCGGAGGCCGAGCGTAAGCGTAAAGCGGCGGCCGATAAGAAGTCTAAGTCTAAGACTAAGTCTGAGTCTCATTCCGAGTCCGAGAGTCATTCGGTGGAGGACTCGGATGTGGCCGAAGACAGTTCCAGTAGTTCCAGCAAAAAGACTAGTAGTAGTAAAAGTAGCAGCAGTTCCAGTAGTAGTAGTGGTGATGGCGATGATGGTAGCGGTGGTGGCAGTGGTGGCAAAGGTAGTGGCGGTGCCGCTGGTGGTGGTAAAGGCAAGGGTAAGGGTGGCGGCGGCGGAGACGGCAGTGATGGCGACGGTAGTGGTAGTGGTAGAGGTGGCGACGGTGGCAAAGGTGGCAGTGGCGGAGACGGTAGCGATGGTGACGGTAGCGGCAGTGGCAAAGGTGGCGGCGGCAAAGGTAGCGGTGGTAAAGGTGGGGGCAGTGGTAATGGCGGAAACGGCAGTGACGGCGATGGTAGTGGAAGTGGTATGGGTGGTGCCGGTGGGGCCGCTGGTGCTGCTGGTGGTGCTGCCGGAGCTGCTGGTGCTGCAGGTGGTGCCGGGGGTGGTAAGGGTAAGGGACCGGTGACCCATACCCTGCCCAGTGGTAGGCGCTGTAAACCGGGCCAAACGCTGTACTCGTGCGAGAATGAGGAGGAAGACGAGCGCAGGCGTCAGAACCCGAAAGATCCCAATCGATACGTGCCTCAGGGCATACTCGGGGAGGTTTACCGTAATAAAATTAAAGAGAAAGGATTTGGTGACGATTAAATATGATGTGATCTAGCATGTTTGATATATTTTGTTATTTGTTGTTGTATTTTATTTTTATTTTGTTAATTTTTTTTATCTATGTGGAATTTGATGTAAGTTATTTAATTTTAATGAATTTAGTTTATCTATTGTTTTATTTATGTACATGCAATTTTTAATTATTATGAATAAATTAAAACAATAACATGTATTTTCTTATAAAATTATACTAATGTTTTTATTTTATTTATTTAAAAAGTGCAACCATGTATATTTTAGACAAATTGAGAAATAATTTAATTAAAGTAAATTTGCCATATTTTATTGCATAATTATAAACGATGATATAAAACACATTTATTAATTAATATGTCTAGTTCACACTAAAAATAAAATGTCTGATACCACTGTTCCTTACTTTGCCGTGATTTTAATCATGGCTATTATCGGTATAAATTACATTTAAAACTAACTAAACTCAATTAAAAAACTCTAACTATTTAATTCTTACTAAAATTTAAATCAAATAATAATCTAAAAATTTTACCCACAGCATCAACAAACGCGTACTATGACCATGATGATGGGGGATACGGTCACCACCACCATGATCATCACCACCCATACCACCCTCACCACCAGCCATACTACCCGCACCACTCACATCACGGTAGTTATGGGGGCCACGATGGCTATGATGGCCATCATGACCACCATGACCACAATGACCACCATGGTGGTTATGGTGGACACCCCATTGCAAACTATAAAACTTTTGAAGATCCACCGCCCACCAAACGGACCAAGAACACTCATTATAAATATAACGCTGACAATTGGCATGAGATGAAATCACAACGAACAGTTTTAGACTGGCTTGGTGTTCCGATTTAAATAATCTTGATACATTTATTTATTAAAAGCTAAAATGTACGCTTGTTACATTTTGTTGTTGTATTTTATTTTACTTTTATTTATTTAGTTGTTACACTTTTATGTAATTTATTTATTTCATGTACACTTTTTAATGTTTGTATGATTTTGCAACATATAATTTATAAAGTTTTATATTTATACAAGAGTTTTATTTATAATGGTCAATTTATTAAAATGCAATTTAATATAAAATAGTATTAACAAATATATTTTAATAATAAATTTTAAATAACAAAAGGACTTTTTGGGCTATCATACACTTTGATCATGATCACACTCTTTGGTTAACCATTTACAGCGCTGTTTGTTGTACCATGGTACTTTATGTTTATAGTCCTTTTATACACACTCTTTGAGCTCATATTTGATACACACTCTCATTGATAGCCCTTTTGTATTGCAATACAAACAAATGATTAAATAACATTCAGTTTTCTATTAAGTGCTATAATATAGCAATGGTAATAGTATAGTTATAATTTTATACACTAAAACATAGCGTCCTCCCTATGTCCTCCCCAAATTTGGAGATTTTCTCATTTTGTCCTCCCTTTGGCTAAAATTTTATGGTCGCCCTAACTGTACAGTACATGCAGTTATACAAAGAGTATTCAAAATGTAAACACACATTAAATACACACAATTTATGTGTTACTTCACTAGTTGTGAAAATTTAATAAAATGGCATTTCTTTTAAAATTTGTTAAAATTCATGAATAAAATAATAAGTGATTAAAACTCCGAAATAAAGTTTTTTACTTTACGCGTACATTTAATAACTAATTAATAATCAATAGTTTCTAAACATACAATTATTAAAAGATAGCAAAACAAAAATAAATTGAATATTATAAAATAATTTTGAAAAAAACTTAAAACATTGATATTTAGTTTTTTAATCAATATAATTTAACATGTATACAACAATAAAAAAAATTCATAGCATCAACATTTATTAATTGTACACACAGGCAAGAACAAAAGTGTACATTTGTGGGGGAGGGGGGGGGTGGAAAGATTTATTAAACGTGGTTAACCAAACAAACCAAAACCGGTCGGTATGTAAGCGCCAGTGTGATGAATAATCTTTTTTCTAGCTGGCTCTGTGGTATCGCTTTCGTACTGTGCCGCCGCTTTATTACGCCTGCGTTTACGCTTTTTTTCAGCCTGATCCTCCTCTTCCTCCTCCTCATCATCTGCCTTAATACTCGAGAACATCCTAATACCATTAGCAGCAGGCTCATCCTCCTCATCATCGTGGTGTTTCCTGCCACCACCACCGAGATGGTGTTGCTGACCACCGTAGATACCACCGCCTCCTCCATACCGATGCCCTCCACCAAAATGGTGGTGACTTAAGTGCTGCCGACGGTGACCCCCACCGCCGTATACATCTTCGTCATCGCCCCCGCCATAACCCCCTCTATGAGCCCTGCCGTAGCCGTGGTGTCCGTGCCCTCCGTAGCGTAGGTGGCGATGGTGTTGGTGGTGACCCCCACCTCCGTATTCGTCCTCCTCATTGCCCCCGCCATAACCCCCTCTGTAAGGCCTGCCATAGCCATGGTGTCCGTATCCATGGTGTCCGTGACCCCCGTGGTGCTGGTGGTGGTGATGGCCACCATATCCACCCCCTCCGTACCCGTGCCCCATGTAGTAGGCGTCAATAATAACTGTAAATTATTATAATAATCAGTTTAGTTTATATAATGTTAATATTGTTATCTGTGAACTTTATTTAATATAATTATGGTGGTAATTAGTTATTACTAATAGTGATGAATATTAATTTACTTACCGCAGTACGTGACCACGATTAAACAAATTAATGTCAGGCCCGTGGCGGACATTTTTAGTTTAATTTGAGTTGTTTTTTATTTTAATGGCGGCGGTTATAGTTATGTATGGGATTTATGCTGTATTTTAAAAACCTTATGGTTAAAATGTTTGTCGTTTTGTAATTTTAGTGAAAATTAATTTATATTTATTAAAATATAATTAATTAATGCCTAATTAACAATAATTTAATATTGTGCCAAACAACTAGATGGAAGTGGTTTAAATAAAATATTAGTTTTAAACGAATTATAACTTAAATCTACTTGTTAATTTATATATAAAATGTGTTATTTATATTTAATATCAGAATAAATGAAAATCATTTATTTCATATAACTAAAGCGTACAATGGTACAGGGTGTACCACAGCTTTACCAAATATAAATATCCAAATAAGTGCATTATTATCATTAATGGATAGGCAAATTAACAATCCCTCTACACCTAATATAACTGTTAAATTGAGAGCAATGAAAAATATTTATTGATAAAATGCATAATAAGTTAGCTCATTAAATAGGCAAATCTACTAGATCATATTTATCCAAGTAGACCCCACAGAAACTTAGGAGGTTCCGGGTAAAAGGCGCCATCGTGGTGACGCTTTCCCTCCCGGTTCCGAAACTCTTCTTCCGTCTCTACTTCGGGATCCCATTTGTTAACACTTCTTGAGGCGACTTTGCCTTTGGCCGCATTGGCGGGCGCGGCCGCACCATAGTTGGCTATATGGTGCCCCTCATGGCCACCATAGTCATCTAGATGTCCGTGTCTGTGCCCGTAACCGTAATGTTCAGGGTAATGCCCATAGATGCCGTGATGTGGGCCATGATAATGATCATGGTGACGGTGGTAGTGACCATGGTGACCGTGATGGTGACTATGGTAACCGTGGTAGTGACCAGGATGGCCGTGGTATAAACCGTGATGGTATTCGCCTACCCTACGTAATGTAATCATGATTATTACATTATTTATTGTTACTAGTGCCTTGTATTGTGTGGCTAATCTTGATAGCTACTGTACGCACCCCTCTGGATCATCGTAGTAGGCGTTGACCAGTGCTAGGTGAATCAAATTATTTATTATGAACATTGTTTATGGTGCGTTAATTAATCAAATTTACTTACCCGTTAATCCAATCAAAAACAATACCTGGATTAAAATACCCAAGAACGACATGTTTAATTTTAATTATGTATATAAAAACATGAATTATATAATTAAAATTTATTTTAAACAAAAATAATGTATTATAATTTAGTAATGTTTTATAATTTGCAAAATAAAACATATGGTTATGAGAAAATGTTGCTCAATTAAACTAATTAAACAATTAATGGCTGTCAAAATACTAACAATAAAACTACAATGAAACCACTTAAATAATTGCACCACCGTAAATTTGAAAACATAATTAACAACCAGGTTAATTAAATAAATTTTATTAAAACAAATCAATCATTATAATATAAAAAACAAAATACTTATTAAGAAGAAGTATACATAACATAAAACATAATAATTAACAAATTATTACAAGTATTTTAAACAAGGCTCACACCAAAACAATTACAACTAGCGACCTTTGCCCAGCGAGTGCCCTTTACCATAACTGCCAATTTGAAACTTGGGCGGCACACCCAGGGCGTCAAACTTGCTGCGCTGTTTCAGATACTCGTACCGGTCGGCCACGTGTGGGTACACGTGATGGTTGCTTTTGAACGCCGCATTTAAGCTGCCCGATGGTGGTCCATCTCCAAACCCGCCCATAGGTGGTGGTGGTCCCCCTTCACCCCCTTCCATTGGCGGTGGTGCCCCCTCATCACCCTTGGTCATTGCGGGCGCGTAGTTGGCTACCCTATGCCGTCCGCCGCCCCCGTATCCGCCTCCGTATCCGCCACCGTAGCCCTCGTTCTCGCCATACCCTCCGTATCCGCCATAACCCCCTCCGCCATAGGGTTCATCATAACCGCCATAGCCTCCGCCATAACCGCCATATTCACCTGGATAACCTTCGTACTCGCCCCCGTAGTATGCGTGCGAAATAGCTGTTTGAATAAATGTGTTTTATTATTTTTAGCATGATTGATGTCATTTTGGTAATAATTTTAATTATAATTAAAGTTAGTTTTACCCGTAAATGCCATTATAACAAATAGGCCAAACGTGGTGCTCCTGAACGGCATTTATGAACAATGATTTAGTTGTGTTGGTAAATAATGACTTTTTTTTATTATGGACACTATGAATTACAACATTTTACTATGATTTTTGTTGCATATGGTTAAAGTTTAATTTATTATTATTAATTAATTTAATGTTTTTAAAAAAATAAAATGGAGTCAAATGAATATTTATGTATTAATAGACCTAAACTTAAATTAAGAATTATAATAATTAAACCAGTTATCAGTGTAAATAAAAAACACAAAATTAATTAACACAATCATATATTTTATTTAATTACAATTATAAGCTAGATAAAAATTAATAAACTAAAAATCAAAACAAATAGCATTTATTCGATTCATAAAAAACAACAAAAATAACAAAAAATTTAAAAACCAAAATTTAGAAATAAAATATAACAAAATTAATTAATGTGCTGTTAAATGGGAATACCAAACTGATCCCATAGTGATCGCTGTGAGTTCATCTCTTGCCAATTGTTCATATCATATCGCGGGTCAGTTTTTTTCTTAGTACCATGCATCTTAGGTTTAGGACCATAGTTTTCAATGTGGTGTCCGCCATAACCACCATGGTAGTGACCATAATGAGGTTCATAATGACCCTCATAGCCTTCGTGACTGTAACCGTGATGCGGATGGTATGGGTTATGGTATGAGTGATGATATGGGTTGTGGTGTGGGTGGTGGTGGTGACCGTATCCCTCATCATCATGGTCGTAATATGCGTTTGTAGATGCTGTGGTCATTAGAGATTAGGTAAATAGAGATTATTAGATTTAGTTCTGGGTAAAAAATATATTTTTCAAAGTTATATTTTTATTTTGAAATGCAACATTTATATGTGATTTATACCCAAAATAACCATGATGACAATTATGGCAAAGTGTGGAGCGACCGTACCAGACATTTTTGTTATTGTACGCCAAACATGAATAGTTGGTATTTTAATTAATTCATTAATAATTATATAATTTTTTACTACTAGTATTTACAAAATATGGTACATTTAGTCTATTTATATTATTTCGCAATCTGTCTATACATATCTCTCTCTCTCTCTCTCTTTTTTAAATAAAAATATTTAACAGAAAACTGTAACAAAACAATTGCTATGAAATTGTTTACATAAATAATTTTTACTCCAAAATGTTTTTATAGATTTAAGAGTAGATTTTAGTTTAAAGAAGGGTGACGAAGACTCTATGTTAATTTGGCTAAAAAAATATTTTTTATTTAACCCTCCGTAAAAAAGTTACGTTTATAGTATTGTGGGCGAATTTTAGTTAAAAGTTAATTTAATGCGATTTTCTTTATGTCACTTAATATATGCTAAATTAAAAGTGAAATAAAAAGAATCGGGATGACAACCCGACCTCGAAATCGGCAATATTGGTCACTATTTTCGGTAAATATAAACATGTTCAAAATTAACATATAATATATGAAATCAATATAGAATTTAACGTAGAATCAGAATATACCAATATCAAACTAGTGGAAGTAATAGTTTTATTGTAATTTGTGTAAAAATGCTTAATTTTATCATAATAAACTGCTATGCTCTAACAGAACACCCACAAAACCACCACAACCCGACCACCACCCACTAAACCATTACCCACTAAGCCACCACAACCCCATCCAACCACCCAAAGCAATTCACAATCACAACCACAACCCCGACCACCACCCACAAAACTACCACAACTCCTACCACGACTCGTCAATAAATAACGTCAAAATAACAAAAATTGAAATTATAATTTTTTAATTTTAAAAATATTTCAAAAACAATATGTCCCATGCAATTTATAATGATATATTCTGATTTTACGTTAAATTCTACATAGATCTCATATATCATATGTTAATTTTTTATAAGTTAAAATTTACCGATAAAAGTGGTCACTACCGCTGAACCCGAGGTCGGTCGGCCATATAGATTATATCATTGGACTCCTCATACAATGTACTTTTTATTTATGTTATCAAATCCCGGGAGCCAGCTTAGCCCACATTCGTCATCCTACTTTAAGAGTGGGTAAAACAGCTGTCAATGTATTGCAATACAAAAGGGCTATACAATTATGGCAAAGTGTGGAGCGACCGTACCAGACATTTTTGTTATTGTACGCCAAACATGAATAGTTGGTATTTTAATTAATTCATTAATAATTATATAATTTTTTACTACTAGTATTTACAAAATGTGGTACATTTAGTCTATTTATATTATTTCGCAATCTGTCTTTACATGTCTCTCTCTCTCTCTCTCTCTCTCTCTTTTTTTTAAATAAAAATATTTAACAGAAAAACTGTAACAAAACAATTGCTATGAAATTGTATACATAAATAATTTTTACTCCAAAATGTTTTTATAGATTTAAGAGTAGATTTTAGTTTAAATTTTAAGAGTGTGTAAAACAGCTGTCAATGTATTGCAATACAAAAGGGCTATCAATGAGAGTGTGTATCAAATATGAGCTCAAAGAGTGTGTATAAAAGGACTATAAACATAAAGTACCATGGTACAACAAACAGCGCTGTAAATGGTTAACC